TTAGCTCATGGAGGTAGTCTCGATCTCTGATGTTTCAAATAAAAAAATAAATATTGTAAATGTTATTTACAAAGAGCAACCCCTAGAGTTTCTTGCTCATTCTTCTCAGGAGAATCTGCCTTACGAATGAGCGGTAGAGTTTAATATTGTGACGATTTCAAGTATAATAATGCTTACCTATGAAATAAAGATTATTTTGAATTTGAATAACTGTGACTGCAAAATTGGCGTCACAAGAGTGGCACTGCAACTGCGTTTCTAAATATTGTAAAAATTAGAAAATTTTAAAGTCAGATTAAAAATAAATGTTATATGCATTGACTTACAAATAAATGGACGACGGGTCTAATACAAAAACCACGAAAAAAATGTCCCAAGTCAACCTATTCGAAATTTAAATTGTAATGTCATCGCAGTATCGCGCTGTCAGTCGAACAAATGAAGACTAAAGCGGAGTTTAGCGCTCTGTATACGATTTTAGCGCCTTACAAGTGCGGACACTTTTTAGCGCAGATCCGACGTCCATATAATTGTAAGTCAATGGTTATATGTCAAATCTTATATCATCTATACATTTTCCAACACTGTTAATAACTTCTGAAATTAATAAACTTCTTAAATTTAGTTGCTAAGGCTTCTGGTTAAACTGTTTGTTTGTGTTTTAAAAATAGACCTTATATATAACACTATTTCTACTAATTTCATGCTAACAATACTAAAATGACTAGGATGGTAAGTATCATTTATTTAGTCTAACTTATCGTCTCATGTTTTACTTAATACTTAACTACTATGACATAAATTAGTTACAAAATTATTGAATATCGCACTTGGTGTAATAAGGCCCCATTTGCAAAATGACTACTTCTCAGAAGAGAGATTTAAAGATTCTACAAAGGAAATTAATCGATCGCATTCGATCGCTTTTTTATGCTTAAATAGGAGAGTGAAAAATTTTCACACACACAGAATTTATTTCACATAATTGTATTATTTTTATGACATTCACGTGATGTGAAAACAGTTTTGACGTATAATCACATGTTGCCGTATTATACCAAGGGTACAATATGTTTTTTGATCCTATTTCTATATCTTGTTTTTCATATTTTGAAACCTTTATGTGTAAGTTACGTACCATTGAGCCGTTGCACATTATGGCCGTTGTAAGTCCCACATACGTGTCAACTGGGAGATAGGCGCAGCAGCAGTGCCCCTTAGATCATTGCGAGTTAAGCTCTGAGTGGCACGCAACTGTTATGAATAGGCGTGTCGCTTACCAGGCGAACGACTTGTTCCTATGGACACTTGGTAACGAAAAAAATAAATGGTACTACAAGAAATTTATGTTTCAAATTTAATTCTATACATTGTACTAGTTGTTATGCTATGAACAATACTTAATTCTTAATTTAAAAAAATTATATCAAAAGTACAATATCTACAGGAGTAAAACCAAAGGTAGCAAGTACAATCTACGACCGTTTAGACGAATTAGCAGTAAAAGAACACAACAGACTCAAGCTTGGTGGTAGGGACAGAGTGGTGCTGACAGAAATGTATCCTGACTGTCTGACGCGACTGTCGCCGGATACAACAGACCAGCCGCACGTGCATAGGGTGCTTATGATGGCTGACACTAATGTGAGTTTAATAATATAATTATATATAGAACTGTGTAAAGTGTGTTGGTAGTGTAATATTGTTACGGTAACATCATTGTAAAACGTCAATTAAAGGAGCGGTCCAAAGAGTAAATCTAAATGTGCTGTCGTCATTTTATACTGCGTTGAATGAATTAATGCAAATCCGTCGCTACCAAAGACAGCCTCTAAAAATAAATATAACTTACCAAGGCACTTAATTAGAAGTTGTAAACGTGTATTCACTGCTTGGCCTAAAAATAGGGTATGTTCTACAAATCCCCACTATGAAATACCCACGGGTGGGGATCCTCAAGTTGGATTTAATTTTATTCCACTAAACTCCACTGGCGTTGTACTTGCTACGCAGACAATGACAAAATATCGAAGTTTTTACACTTTTTAAAGAAAACGCGCGCTGGGACTACTTCTATTAAAATTAAATCAAACTAGGATCCCACCAGTGGGGATTTGTGGAACATACCAAAAATAGATACACATTTAAACTGGCAACTTCATTTAGAAAATGTAAAAGAACCAGTCCGTGGTGACTCGACGAAAACAAACTGAAAATGATTAAGGACCACAGACTGGTCAGTTATCTGTTACCAATTTTTTACTTTATAAAGCTGAACGATTCATCAATGGAAAATACCTATAGTATTTCAAGACAAACATTTGTTGTGAAAATGTCACAACTTAAAACCGTATGTTGCATATACCCAAAAACTTTTTTTTTTGTATTGGGTCACTTTTATTCCAATGGTGCGATTGTCGGAAAGCCTAAATTTTAGCCAGAAAATTCTTCATTATAAATTCCTGTTGCCTATGTTGCAGCAACTTGTAGTTTTGGCTGTACGCAGCTGTTAAGGACTACCTTTAGGTAGTAGCTCAAAAGATCGTGTTCTAAATAATGCGATTGAGATGCATTGAAATTACACGGTCAGAGGGCGAGTTTTGTGCTACTAACAAAACCTAGGAATGGGATATGTGTATTGACTGGTCTCTTTCTTTTTTACAGCATGTCCCGACGCATTATCAACTTCACGTAATAAAGGATGATTTGAAGAAGAATGGTACCAGTTCTTTGGATAATCAGGTAAAATCCATGCAGACTAATGAAATTGTATGTATACATAGGAAATGAAATTATTTTTCCGGATTTAAATCGCGTATATTTGTTTTTTTCAAACAAACCGACGTTTCGGGCCCTTTACAGGTCCCATGGTCACGGTTGACTGAGGTGGTACAGTTATGTCTAATATTGATGCAAACCACCCTATTTTTTCACTATAGTTACAATAGTTACTAATTAAATACCTTATTTTTAATTTTACAAAGAAAACATTCCAATTTACGCTACATTAAATCAGGAAAAATAGTTTCATTTCCTATGTGTAACAATCGCGAAAACCTAAGAACTCGAAATGTATGTATACATTTTAAGAAGAATATTAAATTTATTAAATTATCGTAAAGTACACACATTTTAATAACAACAGGTGGATTTGATTATGTATATTAAATTTAAATTAAAAACTTCGTAACTTAACTTCGTGGTCTTCGTCTCCTATTGATATTTTTAAACACATATTGCTAAATTTAGTATATGTATGTATGAATTTTCAAAAAATTATTAAATAAAGTGAACCTGTGCCCAGCGGTTGGACGAATAATGGGCCGATGATGACTCTGATGAAACAAGTTCGGCTATTTATTCGCAAGCGTAACCAAGTCGATACTCGATATAATATTTATCGATTGCAATCACTAGCTGCTTGCAAGCGGGCAACACTTTTGCTCAATGAATTGTCATTTTACTTCTTCTTCGCCATCTTAAAAAAACAGCGTATAGTTTTATGTCTGAGATCCCTACACTAATTGGGAAAATAGCTGATGATCGGTAAACAGTTGAACTTCATCGAACACAGCTAAAGAACTATCCCGATTAAATTAGCCTGCAAATAAATTAGTAGCAGTAGAGCTCTTTATGAAAGAGTTCGTCCAGGGAAGTACTGCCACCTTACCTATTTCTGCCGTCAAGCAGTAATGTCAGCATTATTGTGTTCCGGTTTTGAAGAGTAAGGGTGCTGGTGAAATTACAGGCACATGGGACTTGTCAACTTGTGTCTCGGAGTGACGGGCGCGGTGGCGATGCACCTCATATCTTTGCGATTTGGGTCTCTGAGTGGCACTGCATAAATCCCCTCTTTTTGCGCCTCTGGTTAATAAAGGAACTTGTGGAAAAGTTCAGGTTGTATTATGTAATTTTTATTTATATTCCAGTCGCTCAGATCAGAAATAGAAGAAGTTATATCAGAAATGACCCTGCCTGAGTCAACCGTGGTAACTGGCAGCGGCATACACGCCATACAAGGAGCATCATCTGTGCAAGAAGTCATTCAACTTTGTGATGATATTGATATGGCTCATTTTTGTAAGTTTTCCTGTCTTTTCTTTATTATTAATATAAAAAAATTGAGACTCACAAAATGTTTCTTGTGGTGATTACAATTAGGACCACCCCCTATTATCTGCGTGACTAAGATACCAGTGCCTTGCGTGCACGCATATTGCAGCAATGTTTATTGTTTGTGTTTAGGATTACACCCCATCGAGCCGCATGTAACTGCTTCGCTGAAAGCGTGTTTTGTATAGATCACCATTGCGTACGACATTCATCTTGGCGCCCGCCTGGGTACACGTTCTGACTAAATTATACATATACAAAATAAAATCTATACATGGCGCGTGCATCGAGTATATAACCAGAAATAGAGACGAAATGTCATTTAATTTGTTTGAAAACTGTTCTGCCAAATCATTATGAGTGACAACTGCGCTCCGATTGGCCTGCCCTAATTCGAAACAATTGACGGGTGTAGTCAATTGTTTCACTTCAAACGACCAGTTTAACTTGAGCTTTGCCATAATGGACGATAATAAAAAAAAACATATTTATTTAATATTTAATTACCGATGAAATGTGATTCCGTTTGTTCTGTAACTAGATGTTTTGCTGTTTTTCCCACACCACTGAATGGAACAGCCGTTCATTGTTAGAGATATTATCTTTATTACAATAAATACAGAATGTTTTTGGAATGTACAGAGATATACACACAGGGCAGTTGTTAGCGCTGTACTGTTTCATTTTTCTAATTTGTGATTTCAGCGCAATCGAGATTTGATATTTAAAAGTGGTATAAGGCTCATTTGCCTGATTGAGTTGCCAGGGATGGATGGCCTTTATTTCGTCTCTATTTCTGGTTATATACTCGATGGGCGCGTGTAATCGCATAGTATCGACTCGACAGACTTGAGTAATTATTATTTTTAACCGATTTCAAAAAAGGAGGAGGTTCTCAATTCGACTGTATTTTTTTTTGTTTTGATGATTCTTTTTTGTTGGAAAGAGAGTACCTCAGTATTGGTCCCATTTAAATGTGAAGAAAATATTCCACGTCTAAAGGTGGGAAACTAGGAGAATGAATCCGGTTTCGCGTATTTTCCTTTAACCAATTTCAATAAAACTTGGAAAATTGGTGTAATTCCAATAACAAATCCTTTTTTAAATATATTTAAATAACATTTTGTGGTGTCTGCATTAAGAGGTACTTTTATGTTAATAATTAATTAAGTAGGTATAATTGTTTCTCTCTGTATTTTTTCGCTTTGTTTCGCAATATACGTTGTGGTGTCGAGAAGTGTTTCAAACTGTACCTACTATCGCAGTTCCTAATTGGTATGTCTAGGCTATACGTGCTAAGTACAGATTCTTCACAGCAGGTCAGTTTTTTAAATTAAAAAAATAATAATATGTGTCTGTATCACGGGTGCCATGGACACATACATAGACAACCACAAATTATACTCAAAGTCACGAGAGAAATAAATGTAGGCCACAGAAATATTACTCCCGGCACGGGAATTGAATCCGGGAACAGATTGGCATGGTAACTGTTCGGCTATAGAGGCAGTTAAAAAGTTTTAATTATTTTATTTCTAGTGACATCTCGCATTTGGCGGCAAGCTATAACGCTTTGCACGGCATCACGTGACCTCTGCTCTGGCAGCATTAACGTGGTGTGCGCAAACGCAGTGCAACGTTACCTGCTGGCTGCCCTATACAGGCTGCGGTTTGGTGATGGTTTTTACGAACACATTTTGAGGTTATTGGCTAATGAGTACACGGGAAAAAGTGATGTATAACAGATTTTTCTAAGGGCAGAGACGCAGAGATGCAGAAATTACTTGACACACAAACTATTTGATTGAAACATTTAAACTATAAAGGAAGCCTTATAATTTTACGTTTCAGTGTTAATAGTGATAGACTAGTCGTAGGAGTCACTTCTGTCCAACCGATATTTTGCTACTGGTGTGACCCTGCAGAGTTATATTAATTAGCACAAAGACAAGATACATTGGTGCCTTTATACAACAACAGTTATTTGTTATGTAAGGCTACAAAGTTGTTGTTTGACGCGAGTGCTTGTATTGAAACCTGAGCAAGCAACGGGGGCTAAGATTGAACCACGAGCGAAGTGAGTGGTTCAAAAATAGAATCCAGAGCGTAACGAGGGTTTCAAGTCACGAGACGCAAAATAACTTTGCTGCCGAGCGAAAGACAACTTTTCACCTCACTTTAGATAGGAAAATGGTAGATGAAAGAAAAACAGTTGAACTATAACAAATCAGTTTTAATGAACAAAATTAGTAGTTAAAATTAGTAGTAGTCGTTGTCAATTTAATGTCAACAATAATAAAAATAAAATATACCAACGGATTTATATTACTTTTTTATCGAAAGAAAAATTTTGGTGCACCACAGTCCATCGTCAAGTTCGAATTTCAAAAACCTTTTTTGCTCGCCGATTTCTAAAGCGAAAGATAACCTTTCAAACCTAGTGAGGTGAAAATAAAATATATGTAGGAAGATGGGTGCTTTATTCACGATTAAGTTTCGTTTTCTCTGCTCGTCGCTGCATTGTTAATAAACAAAAATAATATCATAATATTCTGCAATGCTGTGTCATTGTATAAAGGCAGCAGTATGACTTCTTCTTTTAAATGTTATGTCCCCATCGAAGTAATCGATGATTTCGCCAATGTCGAGTTGAAGAAACGCACGCGTTTCAACTTAAAGTGATCGGTGAATTTCGACAGAATTCACTGACAGGAGTATCTACAAATCTACAACGACAATTTTGGCAAAAAGTTTGACAATTGACTATATCGATTAAACGCACATACTTGTTAAAAGTCGGTACTACCCCCACCGTTTCAGCATAGTATAATATGACAATTAGTGCAACTTCCGCCTGCACGGCGTCCTCCGAGCGTAGGGTTATACCCATTATTATTTTAATACCTACAGGTTGTAAGCATAATTTCAAAAAACTAAGGTACACATCACAGTAGTCTTGTGTATATTGAAATAATCTTTGTCAAATGCAGTATTTATATTGATATTTTTATACCAGCATTGGCATCTCGATTATGGGAGTATGATTAAGAAAAATAAATGAAATGAAAAAAATACATAAACAATTCTCAATTAGGCACTCTATGTTCAAACAACCATAAATACAACATGTCTAATATTTGATGTCATTTTTAAATATCGGACGAATGCTTCTATTAGTGGCGCGTGCGGCCCGCGCTATGTAACGTGAGGGCACCGCCAGACCATGCGATGTGTGCGTACTTCACATACCAGTCGCGCTGGTACATTTATATGGATATGCACTACTAATCTTATTATACTATGATTTCAGGGTATTAACCTACAAAGGTTTAGATAATTAACTAAATGTAAACAAACCGTAATGAAGTACTCGATGAGGCATTTAATAATAATAATAAATTTATTATTATTTATAATATATTATTTACCTGGTTACTTATTGTAAAATTATACATATAGGATTTTTTGTAAATGGTTCTAATTATATGATAATAGTTTCATGTAATAGATTACATTTCGAACTACCTATTTAAAATAGTACTAAATATATAATATAAATATAATATTTAAATAATGATGAACTACCTAAAATCCAGCCTTTAAAAAATGACAGCTAATAATATGCGACCAAATTAAAGAGAATAGCAGTAATATGACGTATGAAATTCACTACTAAATATTGTATTTAACCGGTTAACCAAGTGACAGCTGATGTTTGTTTAGTTTTAGTTAATTACATAATTCTTCAGGGCGCATTTACTCGACACGAAGTTCATCATCGCGGAGTCCGCGTTGACGCCGCGCAGCGACCGCGTGCGTCTAACTGTCATGGCAAAATACGCTCTATTTGTTTAGCTTTTACGTTTTAACTGAAATAAGCGACTCGGGCACGCGGGCTAGCCTGGCTTGAATTTGGTAATTTAAATGTTGTAGCCTAGTAAATATAATTCAGATTCGCCATTAATGTACACGAAGGCGTGGTAATTGGGCGGTCGCCGCGCGGTGGCCGCGCGAAAACTTTCTCCTCGTGTAACTGGGCGCTTATAGTATAAGTATATATATATATAATAATTACTTATTGTTAGACCAAAAGAGGATATTGTTTTATTTAGACTGATTTAAGTTTGAAAGCTGAAGATATATCGCTGATTTTTAGGAGAAGTGGCCCAAATCAAAATAGTTAGTAATTTATTGCTACAGCGACATAAGCAAACTCTATTTACCTATATTTCAAGTGATATTCATAGAGTGTGTAATACCTCTCTTTGAAATCTCGGAGTGATTTTCTTATTTTTTTAAAATGTGTTAGACAACTACTCCAATTACCTGGCCTCAGACTTGGGACTCTCCTGTACTATGAGTAGAGCCCCAGAACACCCTGACCAGAACCAATTTAGAAATATTCATTTCCCGAATCGCTCCTACCGAGACTACCTCATCCAGCATTTACATTGCAAACCGTTGGGCCACAGGTCGTGATAAAAAATGGACGTCGTTATCCAAAAAGAATTTATAATTCATTGTGTCATGTGTATTAACAGAGGTATTATATAATAGTATTCCAGCATATGAACCCTGTAAGGGCACTACAATGATAAAACTTAACTAATTATTAATCTCGTAAACAAGCTGTGTCATTAATTATTAGAATTATTATGAAATTTATCAAAACCAATACAAAAATTTAGATCCAATCCACATATGGTCACTTTCGAGATATGGCTGTTTGAAGTTTAATTGTGTTTCTCGCTCTTGTTTTGTTTTGAAAACTTGTTATGTAACTCCAGAGATATTTATTTACGTTTGTATGTTGGTTTGTTTTGGATGAACTAAGAGTTTAGAAACTGTTTGGTACACACACATAACAAATATTTTGATAATTTTGTGGAATGGATCCTGGATTTTGCTTATGTACATCGAAATGAAATACAAAAATCAAAGCAAAATACTTTATTTTTATATATTTTAAGACTTATTTTTATTCACTAAATAGTTGTCCCTTATCCAGGTTTGATACACGTTTGATTTCTTTATTTTCCTGATGTTTCCGAACTATTATTACACGCTTCATTGTCACGGGTTGACAGACCAGTGGGTGATGACAGTTTTAAGAACATATGTTTGTTCTTTAAGTACAGATGATGACGTGGTAAGAAATCTGTAATTAGTGATATTAGTATTAAATCATTTTAGTTATGTATTTTTTACAATTACAGAACGTTTCTTCTAAATACTCTATCGCAGTAGTTGTTAGTTACACGTTATGAATATAGGACAAAATGCAAAACATTCATCCTGAAATTTGAGAGGGACATATTTATTTATTGTTCACTCTGTGTGTTACTTGAACTTTAGGTAAATATACTTTGGCTATTGTGTTCACTGTATATACGATCACTGTTTATTACACAGCAGTTTATGTGGTAAATCTCATGTTGCCATCAATTTTGTAACGACATTGGATGCCCCAGTGTTTTTCAAATAATTTTATTGATGAATTGGTTTTTGATATGTGCCGCTATTCTAGAAAACCATATGGATATGCAGTGATATTACTGTTTTGAATTAGTAATTAGTGCCTAAAATTTGATTAAGTCTTCCCAAAATAAGTGCCTTATAAAAGTAATTATTACGTCAAGGGCAAAAATATGTATTACTAAACTGTACAATAATGAAGTGCCGGCTTGACTTATGGTGCAGGGTAAGTGGTCATTATTACTATAGCAGATAATGTAATACATTATTCTTACGCAATACTTAAAATAGTTGCGATTGCGCTGGGCGAACAAGCAAGTATGTATGTAATAATAGCCAATAGGCTGTGAGAGAGAAAAGGCGCTAATCAATTGATTGGACGATGCTACATTTTGCAAATCTTGAGATTATAATCTTTCAGTGCACTACATAAAGTTCTCTTTCTCATTTTATATTTTATTTTTATCTATTATCTTATTGTTATAAGTCACATATTTTAAACTACGATTTTGGATTTTATGCAATTGGAATAATGTCGATTTTATTATTTGATATCGACAGGCAGTTAATATCCATCAAATACAAAAAACGTGCCGAAAACCGTCATTTTGTTTTGGTTAATTGTTAGAACAACAATAACTTTATAACAATAGCACATTTGATTGAACCGCGAATAACAGGTTGCACAATCAGTGTTGCCGTGGGGTTCCCAGAGCCCTTGGGTCGAAAATTACATTTCGACTCTTGAAAAGTTACATTTTGCAACTTCGTACGTTTTTTTAATTAAAAATTCTAGCTGTTAATATATTATATAGGCCTAAATCCTAAAAGTAAAAAAATAAGTACGCTCAAGAAAATCAAGATATAACTAGTTATTGATTGGTTTGCTCTTGTTTGCACCATATCCAAGTTACTTTTTTGTCTCATTTGGGTGGGTTCTTTAACTATTTAGGATTTACAATAACAAATAATAGTTGGATTCTTTCAAAAGTTACGAAAGTTGCCTTAAAAACAAAAATTACTTACGTATTACGCGAAAAGATCAACGCTACACAACGTTAATTCGCTATTGTACGCAAAATTACAAAACAGCGGAATAACAGGTTCTCTGACAACAATTTAGAACAGGTAACGATTATTGAAAAATCGCATAATAGTATAATTCATTATTGAGAAACAGCCGCTTTTGCCATCTATGCACTATTGCAGTGTGGCACACACGGGCACAGGGTATTAAGGGGCGATGCTTCTAAAGGGCCTGCGTCTGCGTTGTGCGACGCAAGCGAAGTAATCTGGCTATTTCTTCCCAACATCATTTATAATTGCAATATTTGCACTCGAATTTCCGATCTCTGGGAAAATATATAACTAAGTATTCGCGCTGGCGTTGCAATAACGGGAAAAGATTTTGAAATATTGACATTCCATATCATAATTTTCTCTGAGCAATGGACGGAACTGACGTGTTTTTTAAATACACATTTATAGGATATTTGGTATACATTTTTTGCCTTTGATTAGAGTAGATGTTATTTTTTTTATAGTATAAGTATCATAAGCATTGACCTGCCAAGAAATGGACGTCGGGTCCGCGCTTAGTGTCCGAACCAAAGGGGCATTAAATCGAACATCAACAGTCAATCTTCATTTGGTTGACAGACAACGCGCTTGTCAATGCCAATGCAATGTCATGCTGTACTGTACAATACAAACTTGTAAAAATTACTCAAGTAAAAT